CCGGGCTGGGGATTCGAACCCGCCACCTTAGGTGTACATGGCTGGCGCCTTAGCCGGTTGAGCTATAGGCGCCGAGCCCTATTGGTCAATGTTTAAAACCAATTTCAATTATGTTATTTTAAAGATATAGTTTATATTATAAATGAGTCTCCTCATTTAATTTTTAAATCCCCATCTTCCTTAGATACAACACAAGGTGTTCAATGGTATCTGTTACTTTTCTTTTTCTTTCTGTACTCACTCGTTACTTAAAACATCAAAACGTAGATCTAAAATGTTCAGAATGTTCTCTGTTAGTACAAGTCGGGGTATATTTCAAACTTTGCAGGAAAGCCAGTGCTCAGAGCTGAAATAAAAACTACTGGAAAGAATGAGTTATGGCCAAAACTTGGGCACACTCCTCACCAGGAATTCTTGGATGGGGATACTGCACTAAAAAGAACAAAAACAACAACTCAAAGCCCAAGTAAAACAGTTCGCTTATGTTTGGTTTTGTACTTGTGTTTCAAATGTGGGAAAAAATCCTTTCCATCATAAAAAATTCCCTAAACTTCATAAAAAGCAATATAAATATTAGCAATAAGTTTGGGCCAACTAAAAATTTTGTAATTTTTTTTTCAAAGGCAAAGAATTAAATGGCAAGCTAAAAATAAATGTCCGTGCTAGCCTATAAAAATCCCATGGAGGGGCGCCCTTCAGCGTGAGTCACGAGTCTAAGGTCAGGTACACTCTGTTTGGCTATGGAATGGAACAGAGTGTGTTAACCTTTCATGCGGTCTCCGATCACTCCTCCGTATCCAGCCAAAACTCCACCCTGCCTCCCTTGCCTGGGTTCCAGCTGCACTTGCCTGGATGATCATTCCGCCTTTCTTAGCATCCCTGTGTCTGAAGATAAAACCTGGGACAGCAAGTATATATGGTGAGGAGGCACCTTGGAGTGAAATCACAACGCTATTGATTGTTGCCAAACCTTCTATTTTTAGAGACAAGAAAACTGAAGCACAACTGGGTTTTAAATCTTGCTCAGAATTATACCTAAGTGTCAGAGCTAGAACCTGTCTGATATTCCTCTCCAAAACAGTTGTAGACACTTCTCTGTGTATTTCACATTTCTGCACATTTCGCAGCTAGAGGTACTGACCACCTTTGTTCTGAAGTAGTTTTTCAAAGATATTTTATGTAGTAAGTACCCTTGAAAGACAGAGCAATGGGAAGGTTATGTTTAGTTCAGTATAACAAAAATAGTGTCTCTCTCTGGGGCAAAGAGCAGGCATGCTCACTACACATTATAAAAGATTCACACCTCCTCAACTCAGGGTTTCTTTCTTGAAATGAACCACTAAGTATCCACAGGGAATTGGTTCCAGGACCTCCTATGAATTTTGAAATCCATGGATGCTCAAGTCCTAATACAACACAGCGCAGTATTTGCATAACTCATGTATACTTTAAATACACACAACCTCATGTATACTTTACATCAGCTCAACCTCATGTATACTTTACATCAGCTCTAGATTACTTATACTACCTAGGACAATGCCTACATGTCACTTCACGTGGATTTGATGAAGTGCTCAGAACGCAACAAATTTAAGTTTTGCTTTCTGGAACTTTGTGGAATTATTTTTCTTGATATGGCTTATCTACGGTTGGTTGAATCCAGAGACAGTGAACCCACAGATATGGAAGGCTGACTATAAACACACATCACCCAGCTGAGGCTGGGTGAATTCTGTGAACTAGTACAATATGATAGTATGCTTACTGCTATTGCTATAAATAAAAAAGTCAGTTGTCTCTGATCCAGGCATCTTGGGTCTTCCATCAACACCTGAAACTGTGGCAGGTACAATCTTAGACCCTTTGACAGAAACATAAAATCTTAGTGATAATTTATCATGTATTGTGAGGCCTATTGCTGAATTTTTTAAATATAGAATGACCCTTATCATTTTTGAGAATTATGTGTCATAAGCACTATGCAACATGCTTTATTTTTTTACTATCTTGCCTTTTGAATAACACCATGACATGTTACTACTTAATCTGTATTCAATATTAAATATTCAGCATTCACAGCTAACAAAATATTTTTAGTTTTGTGAATATTGAGTTTACATTATATCCTGTAAGTTTTATAGCCATAGTCTACAACAAAAGCTATTATTTATAAAACTTAGAAAACAGTGCTGCAGAGATAATTCCCTTAAAGCTACACATCAAAGAAAATTATCTTCAGCTGGAGAAAGGTAGCATGAAAGGAAAAATAATTCCATTTAAAAGGCTGTACATTCTGTGAAACTATCTGTTAGTCATGGAGATAAATAGAAAATTAGCACACTATACAGAGTGTGGAAAGGACTACAAATGTCTCAAATTTACAGATAAGAATAAAAAATGTTTAAAGCAAAAGACAGAAAATAATGCTTAATTTTATGGGAGCAAAATGTACAATATAAATGTCTGTAAGTGTTATCTAGAGAATGTTTTAAAAACTAGTAATCCATTTCTGACCATAAATGGTTTTTCACTCCTATGATACTATTCTGCTAACTACAATGCTCAAGAAACATAATGTTTGAATCAACCATCTGAAATGTAAATAGCAACCAATCTCCTCCCCATAATTTTAAAATCTGTAGGCTCTGTACAAAATTCAATACTTTTTTTACTTTTTTATGAAATAAAAAAAAGCTATCCAGTTAACATTTACCAAAAAAAAAAAAAAAACACAGATAAAGATTATGAAGTCAGTTATAATTGTCACATAATGTAATAACTAAAGAATAAAATTTATGCAATTATTTTAGACATGTATCTTACATTGAAAGTTGAGTTGCCAATTCATTTTTATGTTGTTTTTATTCCTAGAAGTCTGTACTTTGTATAGTGGGACACGCCACTGTGGTTTACGTTTGGTGTGGAGGCAGAACGTTCAGTGCAAAAGCGGATAGGTGAAGATAATATCGTCAGTTTTCGGATTCCATTAGGACACAAACTAATAACAAAAATTAAAGTTACGCAGACTTAAATTTTAATTATGTAGTAAAAAATCTTTCTAGGGACATAAACAATTATACCTGAAATGGGTTTTAAACAAGACATTTGAGAAACTCTTGTACTGAAGGGTTTTAACGTAGGCTGTAATCTCATCTGGAGGCTCCTCTGCCTTCTGATGTGTTTTCCATTGTGGGAACTTATGAAGAAAATGGAGATAATAATTTCTGTCCCAAATTCCTCATATAGTTAAGACACAAAATATTTTGATTCGTTATCCTATCTTAAACACACAGACCAACTGAGATGATTCCAGAGAGGAGAAACATTCTTTTCTTTGGAATCAGAATGACTTAATCACAAGAAACAGATATTTTTTTAAAACCTAGTTTTATATAATTAAGAACTACTATAATAATTACCTTAATATAAAGAGACTATTAAAGATAAACAGAAAGAAGAAAAAGAAATAGGCATCTAGCAAATTAGAAGGCAAAACTAAATGAGTATCAATGTTATGCTCGTAATTCTTATTATCACGATCTTCCCGCTGTCAAAATGTTGCGGATGCAAGCCTTGTGGGAGTGAAATTCATAAACAAAGGAGCCAAAGATGCTGATTTGAAACCTCATTAGCTGGTGTCTTCCAATAAGCCTGCATATCTCACATGTTTAAACATAAGGATGCAAACTAAAGATTACCTGGAAATCTTCTAGTTATTTCACATAATCCTTCCTTTCTGCAAAGCTGATGCTGTATTTCTGGTAATATGTTTACCTGAAAAGGATCAAAATAATTCCAGTGAGTTAGGAATTCATAAATGCTATAGCAAACACAAAAACCCCAGATAGTTGCAAAAACTTGATAGTTGCAAATTTTGCTTTGCAAAACACAGCATTAAATATTTCAAAGTCAACCAAACTCCCTTGTTCTAAAAGGCCTCAGTGATCTGCGTCACATACATCGATGTTTCGTAGTAACTCAGTGTTAAGACTGTTTCAAACATTTTATGTACTCTTTACTTCATATCAATGGGCATAATTGTTTCCAAATACAAAATCCAGTTACTCACCAACCTCTATTTTAACCAAAATTTGTTCTTAGAAAGCTTTATAACTGTTATCATAAATTCAAATATGTGGATTTGGAAAATTGTAAAGAAGAAAAAAATAAGTTCACTTTTCTCCCTCTTTTGTGAATTTACAGACTGATTACTAGATACCATTCTCTAAATCCCACAAGTAATGCCGAATATAAGACAACCCTGTTTATATCAACAGAAGGAGATCAGTGTAAATTAGGTTGAAAATCAGATTCACTTCTGAGGCATTATTGATTATTTTTAAATTAACTCACTTTAGCCTAATAAAGTAGTTTAGTTTTTCCCCTTGGTCCTGCTGGGATGACTAGATAAAAAGATTTCAAGCTGCAGTGATAGAAGCTTTGGAAATAGGGGTTGTAGCCCATTTCTGGAACTTAAGAAAATCATAACCTTGAATACACCACCTTCTTCTTTTTTTAAACTTCTTCATCTGAAAAACAAACCTTTTAGAGCTTTTTGTGTCTAAGTTCCACTTCTGCTCTAAGATTTTTACCAATTCAGTAAGTTGTCGTGTGTAAAACATAACTCATTTAAAAATGCTCTAAAACAGGACAGCAATTGAATCTTCTCTGAGTCTTGCCATTTTATTAGCTCTATTCATTTATTCAGCAAATTTTCTTTTTCCCAATAATAGCTACAGGAAGGACGAACTTCAGCCCAGATCCTGCGTGGCGGAAGCCCATGCTGCAGCAGACCCCACGGCTGTGACTGCACTAACGGCATCCCTGAATGACTTCGGGATACCAAAGTCTGAGTTGCTTTCGTTCTTTGGCACGCTGGGAAATGAGAAAAGCCTGTGCATGCAGAACACTTTTCATCTTAGCATTGTCTGCGTTTCTCCAATTTGAAAGTGAGAAAGTTCAGCCCCAAAATGTAGGGGAAGAAAAGAAGCCAGAACTCTTCAATTGAGAATGCTTAAGAAGGGCTGAAGAATACAGAGCACTCGCCAAAGAATGGAAAACCCATCTAGGGAAGATACATTGAGATTTCTTTAAGGTAACAAAGTATCTCTCTAAATTAGACTGTGAAAAGCTTCAGAAGTCAGTATCATAAAATGAAACCATTTTTCCCACATAAAGCAAAATGATTCAGTTGCTAGTGACTTTCTAATAGGATCTTTAACAATAGGATTCAGAAAGAGCCCAGCATTCGGTAAGTGGTGTGCAGGGTTATAGACTGACTCGGCTCATTTCTAACCTTCTCTAAAGGTAAGACCAAGTGTGCTATCACTGCAGGGGCTTAACCACCCGTGGTTCTGCCGCCCCATCCTCTAAGTACTGCAAACTGAAAGGAAGAAAGGAACAGAGACCCTGGGAGGAAGGGCAAGGCCAGGGGGCCCCGTGGCATGGCACGCAGTGCTGCAGGGTCACGGTAAGACACTGGGGTAAGGGTTGTAGAGGAGCAAGAGAGTTCCGAGGACAGAGGCAGCTCACTGGACAGTGTGAGGACCTCACATGGACACTGAGGACTTGTTAAGGTCCAAGAAAAAAGAGGCGCAGAAAGGTGGTCAGGTTCAGTACCACCAAGACTTAGTTCTTGGATAAGCTGGATGGGTTTCAGAGAGCGTGGAAAGACCAACTTCACAAGTGCTGAAAAGCTGCTTCTCCAAGTCCAAAAGAGACAGCGGAGAGATCTCTGTGGGAAAACACCAACGACAAAAACAAACTCTGCACATCTTTTCCAGTGTGGCAGAGAACCAGCTGGAGGGCACTGGGGACCAAGATGTGGCCTCCGTCTTCCAGTTAATGATAAAAATGTCTCAAGGGCATCTGTTCCCTGGTTATCATCAAGGTCCAAATCTGAGCCCCAGCTCCTGCATGGTGACACCTGATACGGTGGTGGAATGTAAGAAATTTTTGGCAGAAACGGGCAAGGAGCTGATGCACTCTTCAAATATTCAAGTAGAAAACCTCACTGCTCTTGGCATGAGGGGCCCACTCAGGACAAAGAGGCCATGCAGAAAAGAGCCCAGCATGTGCATTGGGAATCAGAAGGTGAAGGAGGCCCCTCAGCTGGCCCAAGGACTGAAGAGTGCCGAGAGTGGGGGAGCTGCATGCAGCCAGCCTCTTCACCCAGGGTGGGAAGGGCCCAGGTGCTCCAGCCACTTGAGACCCAGTGCTGCCCAAGGGCACCAATGAGAATATCTCTGCCCAGGGGTCTCTGGCAAGTAGGAAAAATGTCAATGTCTGCAAAGATGAGAGCTTGCAGGGAGTTGCTGCCCAAGGGGCTTTTGGTCAGCTGCCAGCTGTGCCAAAGGAGTATGGAGGCAGAAGTTTCCAGAGGAATTCACATGTGGACTATGGGAGCCAGAGCATCCTGACTCCCTGCACAGGAGCTGAGAGGGACACCCAACAGCAGCCTGGGACTTCACCCTGCCATGGAGCTACTTCACCCACCGCAGCAGGCTGCCCAGCTCAGGGGCGCTGAATTCAAAAGACTCAGTGTAGAGAGAGAGCCAGGGAAGGGAGAGAGACAAGAGGCAGAGGGCCTAGCCAGGGGCCCTCCCAGCCTATCTTTTCAAGGCTTGTCCCTGCTGCTGTCCAGCCAGCTCTTTCACTTTGGAAAGAGAATATCAAGGACTGGCAAGCACACCAGCCTCTACTACTCCCACCTGGAGCTGTCTCTGCAGGGTCAGTCCATGTCAGCCATCAGGGAGGCCCAGGCTGGGCCCTGCCCGGTGTTTGGAAGGCCACACCTGCTCGGGAAGGAGGACAGTGTGCTCTGGCCACATGGGAAGGCACAGGCATGGCTCAGTTTGCACTACAGAAGGAACTGGGGCCCAGGGGAAAACATTTTGGACCTGAGATATTGACAGAGGTTTATGGACAAGGAAGACCAGGATCAGGAGGCTCTGGGCAGGGACGCCAGTGACTTCAGCAACACCTCCCATGGTGGATGGTGGTGGCCGCTCAGCAGTGAAGGGGAAAGCCCTCAAGTTGCGAGCTTCCTGGTTTCCTCACATTTGCAGAAAGCAGTATCTGAAGTGTGTGTATCTGTAGGTGACACCTGTGAGCAAAGGGAGGGAAAACAGGCGTACATTACCTGTCCCCTGTATAGATGTACGCTGACACACAACTCGAACAGAAGGGTTCTGATAAATTTGAGTTTTATAGATTTTTGTAAATTATTTGAAGTGCTGTAAAAATGTTTTTGGAAAACATTGCCATTCACTTTTGTAGGGTGTTCATAACTGTGGTTTTCTGCGGTCTTTTAGATAAGCAAACATTTGGTTCTTCCCATCACGGCCAGGTTCAAAGAGACTCAGGCTGCTGCTGCCCTTGGGTAAATTGCTGGTGAAGATGCTCAGTGGCACCTGCTGTTCAACCCTGAGGAAGGCAGCAGTCGCCCTTCAGAGAATCACTAAAATACCCAAAGGTGTCTGGTGGGAAGCTCCTGGGACGGCACTTTTGGTACAAAGGATCCCTCACCCCAGTCCCTTGAGGCCAGAGCACATCTTCTGAAAACTGCCATCACAGACTTTATTCAGAAAAACGTTTTGAAGCACAACGACCAAGCTGGCTGGGCCAACCCGCTGGGTGTGGAAGCACAGGGTGAACTCCTGCTGGGTTGCTCTGCCCTCAACCCTGAAGCCTCGGGGCTCAATTTTAAATCTAAATCAACCTCTTCATATATGGGGGGAGAAGGTCCTGGTGAGTGAATAACAATACCTGAACTGATGGGTCAGAAGAGTCCCTGTCTGCTGCAAAGACAGAGGACAGCGTTCACAAATCTCAGACACAAGGGTAGGGTGCTGTTTCATACCAGAGAGAGGGCTTCCCGGGAGACCTTAGTTCATCTTCTTGTCAGAAAGATAAACTAACTCAAACTAATTTTTGGCTGAAAAAAATCAGAGCCAAGTCAAAGGGAGCAACTCTGCTATCCCTCCTCCTCCTCTTTTCCTACCCTGACTGGTCTATCCTATTCCTGTCCTATCTTCCCTCCAGCCCTTCTTATCCTGTGCCCCACACATTGACATCTCACCATGATCTCTCCTCCAAGTGCATGTTTAGAACTGACAGAGTCATAGTGACATAATTGTGGTGACATGTGGCCTCAGAAATATCATCTCTATCTGGCTCTAGAACTAAGCATCAAATGGAGCAGTTCCACTGAGTAACTCAGCGCAAAGCAAGAGAAACATTCAAGGGTCACGGGTCATACAGCTGTGTTAAATCAGCTATATTACTCAGATTTTGAACTTTTTCACTGTTAAACCTAATAACGTTCTCCTATACCCTAGTGCTTTTTACTTTAATTTATATATATATATATATATATCAATCATAAACTATATAATAAAATTTGCATCATTACTGAGTGGAACATCATCAAAGGAGTTTTAATTTGGATTTGCTGACTTTTATACGATGAGCTTCTCCAGCTTAACACTGCACTAATTATATTTTAATAGAATTCGTTCTTAGAGCTCTTGAAGGTTCACAGCAAAGTTGAGCAGAAGGTAGAAAGAGTTCTCATATACCCACTGCCCCCACACAGGCATAGCCTCCCCGCGCCCAGAACGGTACATGTGTTACAGCTGATGCTTCTTCGTGTTCTTCAGTCATCATATTATCATCCATGTAATCTTTGTAATATATACCAGCCTAGTATTAGGTTTCAATGCTTTATATACAGTTCACATATATATGCGTGCGTATATTTACATAGAGATGGC